TCTTACATACAGTTTTCTTTTGTTTTTTGAAAAAACGTGACATAGGCATGAAATAAATACTTATATATTTTTTAATGTATTATGTCCAAACCCTCCCCAACGATGGGGAGGGTTTGGACAAACAATAATTAAGCAAATATATTATGCAAAACATTTGTTTGACAAAAAACAATTTAAAAACAAATAAAATATTTAGTAAAAAATTGTTTATTAATCAATAACTTTAGCATTAACGTAAGCTGTACTCGGTAACATCAACATTAAAATATATCATGTCCATATCTGACACTTCGGTCTGTTAAAGGATTTGATAGTTTTAAAATCACTTCCTCATATGACACAAATGCTGGCCAATATCTTAACTATAAAGTTGTGACCTATATATCTTTAACGAAAATTAATAATTTTGGAGATGTCGATTTGATATAGAATCTGCCTTTACCAATGCTTTCACGATTTTCCATAGACTTACTTTGCTAAATTAATCGTTATATAAACGTGACTTTATTGTCACGTTATAACGTTATAACAAAAGTCACGGTATACGGTGACTTTAACTTTACGATTTACCGTGTCTTTAGCTACCCTCTTAACTCTTTATTCAATTCGCCATATTGATCTGATTTTGTTCTGTTTAGTGTTCCCGTGCAACTAATTTGTTTTGAAATTGGTTTATTTAAAAATTATTAGCTTAACACAATTTTCTTTGGAAGGCGTTAATTGTAAGTATTGTTTTTCATATTGTATCTATTTCTATAAAAATAATTATAAGTTATGTTAACATTCATTTTATTATTTTAATGCCTTTTAACATTACCTAAATATTTAACAAGTACCTAGGTACCTAAGTGGTTTTGATTTAAAAACTTAATTATGCAAAAATTTTGTTTTTATTATATAGAGGAGGTATATACAGCTGTATAGGGTGTCCTGAAATTAATGCACCATACTTTAACAGCAGATTGTACGTGCAAAAATAAGAAAAAAAGTCCCTATAAACATAGGTCAAGAAATGCCCCCAAAAGGAAAGCCCCTGAAGATGGTTTTTATTTAATATCTCCAAAACCGTTTAAAATATAAGAATGAAATTTGGGGAATTAATTAAACTTTTTATGACCAATAAGACGTAACAATAACAATTTAAATTTTTTTATGTGGTTTGGGTCAGATTGATAGGAAGTAGGGTTAAAACCACCTTAACTTTTTTGTACGTATCTTGTACCAGAATTTGGTGTCAGATTATAAAATTTTAGAGTTTTGCACATAAAAAAGGTCATCTTGTTGAACTTCGATAACATACACCGTTTTCGCATAAAATCGATTTGAAAATTATTTTACATGGCATAAAAATTCACAATTAAATCACAACCATAGAAATGGACTCGCGTGGTCCTTGGAATACGGCTGCCATGTTTAGGAAAAAATAGAATAATTTAAGACAGGTGACATGTAGTAAGTGACAGGGTGTTTTTACTTTTTTATTTATATTAGATAAAAACCATCTTCAGGGGCTCCCTTTTCGGGGGCTGTAGCTCCCTTAGGAGGCATTTCTCGACCTATATTTATAGGGACTTTTTTCTTATTTTTGCACGTAGAATCTGCTGTTAAAGTATGGTGCACTAATTTCAGGACACCCTGTATATATATATATAGTTATAACTAGTGTTCACATTAATACTTTTTTTCAGCAAAAGAAAAAAGAAATACAGCAAAATGTCGAATAGAAGAAAAAATATTGACTGAATATGCTTTAGAAAATTATTTATTTGGTTTTTATCCTTTTGAAGAAGAATATATTTTTTTAGAGTTATTTATTTAGGTAGTTTTTTATTGTTTTTATAATTTGTTTTGAGAAATATATTGTTTTGTTAAAGGTATTATTATTAATTAATCATAAATTCTTCTGAAACCTGTTCCATTTCAGTGTTTTGTGCTTATTTAATTATTTAAAATATACATATAGCTAAAGCTTACTATAGTAAAAATTTAGGACTAATTCCAGCAATCTGAGACTCGAGCAGACTAGTTAAAGACATCTGTCACTAGTCACTAGTGGCGACTGGGGGATTTGGGGTATACTGATATCTTAGTTATTAGACATGGGACCCAAAACTTTTATGAAGTTGTATAAAATTAAAAATTGTTGCGAAAAAATTAAGTTTTTCAGCGTGCCCCCCTAATTAAGATGATTCAAATTAAGGTGGTGCAATTAATAACTCACTATACACTGAAAAAAATTTACGAAATTTTACACATCCAAACACACATTTATTTCTGTTTTTTTACTTAAGAAATGTGTTGTTCCATATAAAACATGTACACACATACTTACATAAGTAAAATAGCATCAATTTATGTATTTTTTTAAATTAATATGTAGTTTTTCATATTATTATGTAATAAATCCTTAAATTTATGTGCTTTTACAATTTTTAATGTACTTGTACTATTATTTTCCTAAATTTTACATTTACATGACCTTTGCATTTTTACACATTACCTATATGTAGTTTTACAGTATGTTTGTACATATACATTTAAATACGTGGCATCAAAATAACCAACGATCAGATGTGTAAATTTACTAAATATTTTTTTGAGTGTAGTTTATAACAAATTTCAAAATTTATTTAAAAAATCCAAGATTACAAATATTATACCATTTTTTAAATTTTATTTTAGGATAAAAAAAAGTTTAAATGGTATAAATTCTACTTGGAATTTGAAATAAATTTTGAAATTTGTCGATAAACTGCACTGAGTTATTAATAGCACCACTTTAATTTGCATTATCTTAATTAGGGGGGCAGGGGACTGGGCTGAAAAAAAATATTTTTTTCGCAAACTTCAATTTAATATTATTATAAACTCATAAAAGTTTGGTTTGGGTCCTATGTATAATAACTGAGATATTGGTATACCGGTATATATACCAAAAATCCACCAGCCGCCACTGGTTAAAGATACGGTCACAAATTCAAAATCGAATATAACCGTATTTTCGTGTTGATTTAGTAACGATTACAGCGTCACGTAATGTCGATTCGGTTTAAAATCACGATAACGCTAACGTGACGATCACGTTATAACGGCAGGTGAGCGGTTTTGTGAAAAATTTGAGTTTAAAATTGATATAGTTTCGACGATTATACACGTGACGATAAAGAAAACATACATACAATTTCTGTCACTTTTTCGTTACGTTTGGTTACCCGGGGTGGTTGGAAGCCACTTGTTTTTTTTTAAATTTCACGTTATAGCTATCTACAACGACTTCTTTGGACGGTCGTCCATACCCTCCCGCAACGTAGTTCGATTAATAAAACCCAAAATATTATAAATTATGTATATACATTTTCAAAGTAACAATACCCTATCATTTTTAAAGTTTTCCTTATACTGGTAATCAATCAAGCAACCAAAAAATCTCAAAATTAGTTTGTTAAAAGCAGACTTTACAACTGGTAATATTGGAATGAACAGGTGGATAAATAGAAAAATGGCAGTGCCGCGAAACGAAAAGACGTGATTGCTTCGCTTCTAGACAGATATCAGGGACGTTCAAATGCGCTTTTAGTTACGTTTCTGTTTTCACCCTTTCTTTAATTAGGCGGTAATTATGAATGTGTCCAATGCCTCCCAGTGTCCAAACCCTCCCGGCGCTCCCCTATGGCGTTGTGCGAAATATTATATAATAAACCCTGCAACACAATATATTATATATACAATATATTATGTTGTATTGCAGGGTTTCAAGTACGTTATGGGGGTCGTCAAGGACTTCGCTATAAAACGAGGGAATTAAATCGGGAACGAGCTAAGAAAAGCAATTTCCAGTATTAAAAAAAAAACTGACTGATAAAGAGCAGTTCTTTAAATACACAAATGACGGTGCCCATTTTTGACAATTTATCAAGTCTGGTTGCCCCTCGCATAAAAACTAAACTAACAAGGCGAGACTGCCTACTGAAAACTGCCGTGTGATTGGCTGGAGTAGCGGTTGAGGTAAGAAAAGATGAAAGATGGTCATTTCTTGCCGCTACGTTCTTGCCTCTACCGCTACTTCTGATAACTATAAATTGTTTCATATAATAATCAATGCCGAACTCGGCTACCGCTACCGCTACCTTTACCGCTGCCTCTATAACGGTATACCGTTATCTTTAAAACTATAAATCCAGCTTTAATGTATCTAAAATATTCTTTAATATTTGTTTAAATCTGAAATCAAATAAAAAAGTTATTTGCGATTGAAATTCATCGAAAATTTGTGTGGATCGATTTTTTTGCCTGTGAGTGTATATATTTAATATATACCTATTATTTATTTTTAATATGGAAATTGCGATTTATTAAAAATAAAAATGCCATAATCATTTTTCATTTTAATACTATATATAAAAAACTAGGATATTTTTTCCCTATTTACCTAATAATTATAAATAAAATTACTTGCAACAAATTGTTGTGTCATTTAATAAAGTTTATTAGGTATTGGTGACCAGTGTTGCCAATTGATTTTACCAATTTACCCTTAAAAGTTTCTGGGTTTACTTACAAATTACTTACAACTTCAAAAACAGATCCAATTTTTAAAATTAAACATTATAAAAGTCGTTAAACCACTCCAACTAGTCTAGAACCTAACAAATATCAGGAAATCAGATAAATATCCTCTTATGAGCGACACTTATTGCTGTGCAATGTTGCCAAACATTAAAAACGAAATTCCCAAAATGTTCAGTTTTTGCGTTTTCAAAGGAAAATATAGAATTACATAGCAAAATTAACGTTTTATCCTGATAACTTACATTTTACTTACAACTGTAATTTACTTACAAAATTCCTCACAGACCATGAAATTCCCTACAAATGTAAGGAATTACTCGCAGATTGGCAACACTGTTGGTGACATGTAATTGTAATGGTATTATTTCTATGGGTTTATTGGCCGCTAGGATGGGATAAAACTCTTGGCAACACTGCTTAAGGAAAATAATGCGAAACAAAGAAGCAAAGGTGTTCTTTGCAAAGAAGCGAAAGCCGCCGATTTCTCGCCCAGTTCGTTTGGAAACCTGCCTTACAAGAGTTCTGAGCGTATCTTTTATATCTAAAATTACCTTTTTTGAAGTGTAATAGGACCAAACTAAATCAAAATGGTAAGTGATATGATTTATTTAATTTATTTGTGTTATAATGTATGATTAAATTAATTCTATATTGTTTTATTTGGCTAAAACAAGCCACGTTGTAACCGGCGAATAGGCCGCCATTTCTATGAATACAAAAATGCAAGCTTATTATACCTACCTATACCTACTTACATATTTTAACTTTGTTTTAGAAAAAAGTACCTACCTGGTTTTATGCAGTTAAAATCATTTTAATAAATTAATTAAAAAATAGAAATCGAATACCGGTAAATGTAACGGTTTTTTTAATGTTTATGTTTATTATTAATTTCTATGAATACAAAAATAGGTACAGGTATTGCAAGCTTATTATACCTACACTGAGAAAAAGTTTATTGCTCCAAATAAAAAAATATTTAAATATGGGACAAGGGTACAGTTTATTTATCCTAAATATATTTTTATTCCCGACACATAAAGTTTTACTAAAGTATATCGTTATTATTTCGACTATTTAGAGGTAATAAACAATATATTCACTATTAATAAAAGTATTAGCTACACACTTTATTTGTCCCATTTTTTCTCAGAGTAGGTACATATTTTAACTTTGTTTAAGAAAAAAGTACCTACCTGGTTTTATGCAGTTAAAATCATTTTAATAAATTAATAAAAAAATAGAAATCGAATACCGGTAAATGTAACGGTTTTTTTAATGTTATGTTTATTATTAATTAATAAATTGTTTTAATGCTTGGTATATACATATGAGATCTATGATAAAGTAAAGTACCTAACTAATGGATTTATGCAGCACAAATTAACATTAAGTTAAGATTAACATTAAAAAGTTAATATGAATGTACTGCAGTACACAGTACTGTGCTCCACACCTCAAAGTCCCACCACGTGACCACGTACGGAACGCAGTCTTTTAAAAATTTGGCATTTTAGGCTTTTCAGGTTATGTATCTATCAAAGAATAGTCAATAAAAGAAATAATATTTATAGTGTTACCGCTTATGTTTAAGCGTTAAAAGTTAATAAATCTTTATAGTATCACAATAACAATGGTTGGTTTAAGAATTTAGGAATATAAATATTGCATTTAATGAAATTCCAAAGTGTAAGGTGCAATATAAGTGATATTTTTGTGCATTGGGTCTACATTTCTCCATAAAATAGTTTTAACTAAACAGCATTTATTTAAAAAATCTAACTTCTCTATTATGAAATAAGAATATCTGTATCAAAGGTTAATGTATTAGAACAAAAAATATCATCTAATTTTTTATTTTAAGGTTAGAAAAATCTATTTTGACCAAAATAAATAAGTGGATTATTTGGAAGAGTGTGTTAATATGGTCATAAATAAATATAGGTATACTGAATAATTGTTGAATATGGTTCAAATTAAATTGAAGCTTTTATACTTCTAATGACAAAACTTGTGCATACCTACTTTAAGTTATATTATAAGGAAACAAACAATTTTTAGAGAAACTTGCAATTTGAAAATATTTAATGACATGTGATTTATTAAATTTTTTAAAGTTATAATGATTTTTCAATGTAGATCAAGTTCAGTCGAAGCTTTTTAACTATTTGTATTGACAAAACTTTGTGTAGGTACACTTTAAGCTGGATAAGAAAAACTACCACATTTTTAAATACCATATTATACAGTCTTTTAAATTTTTTTAACCTTAAAATTTCAAAATTAGATGATATTTTTGTTATAATATATTAACCTACCTTTAAAACAGATATTCTTATTCCATAAAAGAGAAGCTAGATTTTTTTTAATAAATGCTTTTTAGTTAAAATTATTTTATGGAGAAAACCAGATATTTGGACCAAATGCACAAAAATATTACTTATTTGGCACCATAAACTTTAGAATTTCATTAAATGCAGTATTTATATTCTTAAACCATCCATTGTTATTGTAATGTTATAAAGATTTATACATTTTTAACGCCTAAACATAATATTATTTCTTTCGTTGACTATACTTTGACAGATACATAACCTGAAAAGCCTTAAATGTCAAATTTTCAAAAGACTGCGTTCCGTACGTGGTCACGTGGTGGGACTTTGAGGTGTGGAGCATAGTACCTAATACTATGGAAGCATTTATGCAACACATTAACATTAACATTAAGCCCATTATACCCTCCTATTGGTTAAATTAATCTTAATGTTAATCCCCATAAATGAAATATTTTTGCCAAATTAATAAATATTTTTCCATAAAAACGGTCATCCATAAAATACATCACAATTTCTTCCTCAATGGCGAGTTACACATTAATTATTTTTTTTCTACTCCCACCTTAAAAACGCCCATTATCGTACATGTTTCCAACACACAAGTGACCTTTTAAATACACATTGACAAATTGTGGCTTTATGGCGTTTTAGTCACATGCTGAAGTTAGTTGACAGTTGTCAAATGTCATACAATCGTTAAAATAAAGGCCTTCCTTGTAAAATAATACTAAATGTGAAAATTATTTTATTATCTCAATACAAAAATTAGAGATGCGACTTGAAAAAAAAAACGGTCCGTTTTTTTTCAGGTTTTTTTCATTGTTTTTGTTCAAATGGTTTTTTTCACATTTTAGGTTTTTTTCAAGATTAGTCCCATTTGCCTAATTTTTTATTTTTCCATGGACTAAAATTAGCCACTAAATGACAATTAGTAAATATAAATACAGTCTCGCGCTATGCACGCGCCACAACCACCGATTTGACCAATAAAGGCCCCGCTTGTTTTGATTTGGTCCTAAAAAAGTAACTACAGATAATATTTTTGATTCAGCGCGTCATTTTTCAAAAAGCTACCAAAAGTACTTTTTTCATTATTTTTTAAATTCATCTAGAGTATGGAATTTTTTTTCTTCAAAAAAACAATAGCAAATTCTTGTAGAACATTTATTCAGTTTTATTACGGTATTTGTTAGGATTGAGCGTTGCACGTTTTTCATCTAAAAATCTCAAAACTATAAACTTCAAGCTTTAAATTGCTTTTTTTACGGCTCCAATACGACCATTTTTAACAAAGATACAGCTATCCGAATCCTTTAATTTTTTGTATTAGTGTAGAAGTTTTACATTGCTATTGGTTTCTAATGTGAAAACTACCAAATATCAGATTTTTAGTCTTTTAACATAAGGTGTAACGGAAAAATATTTTCCCAAAGATAAAGAAAAAATATGCATTCGTTTTTTATATTTTTTGTAATACGCCACTGGTTACAGACTTCTGTGAGATATACCAAAGATAATATATCTTTGAGATATACATAGATACCAAGTTGGTATTACCAACCAACAAAGTTATAGTTGGTAGGTAATGTGGACAGTTAACTTTTCAGTATACTGTTTAATTTTTTACCCGCTAGATGAAGAAGCTAACTTTTTAAAAATATTTTAATAAAAATAGATATTTACAGTACAGTAATGCTGGATTCATGCAGGACAAATTAACATTAAGTTAACATTAAGATTAACATTATCATTAAGAAGTTAAATGAACATAATCCATTGGAAGCTTTTATGCAACACATTAACATTAACTTTTACATTAAGTTAACATTAAAAGATGGCTAACTTTTATCTTAATTATAATGTTAATTTTTATTCCTCCTGTGCAGGTTTGCTGCGAAATTTTTAAATAAAGCGTGTCAGTAATGCCAACATACCCGAAAATAAAATGAAATTTACTGCTCAATGATTGGATTTTTTATTCAATGATTGTGTTCTTTGGTTTATTGTTTGACGCGCAGTTTATATATAAATATATATATATATATAAATATAAAAGTACAAAGATATAAATATAAAAGTACAAAGATACGTAGGTATACAAAATTTAAAATAGATATAAATTACAATTGGGTTAAACGAGAATACTAATAAAATATTTAAATCACATTTAGTTAAAAAAATCACCACAGTTATTTACAACATATTCATCAGTACTATAAAAAGCTTTGTTAGTTTTTTATGCAAGATTTAAATAAATCTACATTCATTGCCCTAACACTTAAAGGTAAGGAATTATAGAATTTAATACCATAATAATTGGTTTCATTTCGGGTTCTTTCCAATCTGCTAAGATTGACACTTAAATCATGTTTACAGCAAGTACCTATCATGGTGATGTTCTGTGATGGTTATGTACATTTTCGCGAAAATTATATTTATGTATGTGTTTTTTGGTATAGATCAAACATTCATATATAAAAATGCTGGGGAAAGTAAGTATTCCTAGGCTTTTAAAATAGGATTTACAATCAGCCCTATAATTTAAACCTGCCACTATTCTCAAGGCACGCCTTTGTAGACCAAAGACGCGATTTTTAGTGCTTGAGTGTCCCCAAGCTAAAATTCCATATCGAATTACAGATTCAATTAATGCAAAATATGCAACTCGTAGATATTCAAGTGATAGATAATTGGAGAGATTACGTAGAAGAAATATATTTGATGTTAGTTTGGTGGCAATAGAGTCTCCTTGATTAACCCAGAGCAATTTGGAATCAAGGTGTACCCCGAGAAATTAAGTAAAAGAGTAGTCGCAGTTTCTCAGAGAGAAAATAAGATTAACAGTCTTATTTGTGTTCAAACATAAACGATTGGAGGTGAACCATTCTAAAGCTTTTGATTGCTTAATTTGCCACTAATGTTAATGTTAACTTAATGTTAATGTGTGCTGCATAAATCCAGCATAACTGTTACTGAGTAACAAAAAAATAGTCATATAAATTTGAAAAAATATCGATAGTCAGTTGAAAACTTTCGATAGGTCGATAGTAAAGTTTTATTGTAAACCATCGATATAATCGATAGTTACTATCGATAGTTCTCCACCTCTACTGTTTACATCAGAATATGTGCAGGTCACAAAAATGTCAGAAGTCAAAATTACTTTAACTTATACGCATACTTAATTTGCCACTAATGTTAACTTAATGTTAATGTGTGCTGCATAAATCCAGCATAACTGTTACTGACTAACAAAAAAATAGTCATATACCTAAATTTGAAAAAATATCGATAGTCAGTTGAAAACTTTCGATAGGTCGATAGTAAAGTTTTATTGTAAACCATCGATATAATCGATAGTTACTATCGATAGTTCTCCACCTCTACTGTTTACATCAGAATATGTGCAGGTCACAAAAGTGGTGCAGGTTTATCCAATTCCAAAATGGTTTACTTACCTCCATTTTGTTGTTCGTTTTTAAATGCTCGAGCATTTATGAGCATTTATGATCGCTTATGAGCATTTATGAGCACTTATGAGCGCTTTGCAAAGCGATCGAGCATCTGCCATCTATAATTATAAGTATTTGTCGTAGAAAAAGTATAGTATGCAACACGTTTTATAAACTCTCCAGACACTCGCTTGCAAGCTATTTGTACAAAAGAAGTGATATTTATTTATATTTTTGTTAAAAAGAATTACTTATTTTTTTCTTATTTTTTAAGTATAGTGTAGAGTTGTTTTTATTTAATTGCATACTTTTTTCTCCTAAAATTCTCCAAAAAACCTCCTAAATTCCTAAATAAAATTTGTAATTTAACCGTGGGAGCCCTGAAATATCAAGTTTTATAAACGCCATTTTAGTTACGAGTTTAATTAGGCACTACCCAGTGAGGTAGTTTGGGTACAATCAATTTACTGCATTACACACTAAAATAAAATAACAAAATTTGTATTGACGGCCCTGTATGCATTTATACTATCGCATTACACGCCTATGATCGATAATGGAAGTGCCGCCTGTGAGTCGAGTTAAAGTTTGTATGCTGTTTACACTGACTGCGTACTTCCTTTCAGAATCTAAAAAGAAATTGGGAAACAAAAATTTTTTTTAGCGCGGCGTTGCAACGACATTTAAACAATATTTGAAAATAATACCAAACTCTGGATTTCCGTTAGATGTACTAGAAAGGGTGTCCCAGAATATGTGGGCAATCTCGCGGATTTAGATAGAACACATAAAAATGATATGACAAGTTCCTATATATTTTTTTTCCTACTGCCCCCTCTACGGAGACACTGCTCCATAACGGAGGCCCCTGAAACGATGAATATTTCAAAACACTCTATTTTTAACTGACACTGACATCATTTAAATCGGTAAATGTCAAAAGTAAGCATTCCAAAAAATATAAAAATAAATGCAAAAAACCCTATTTTACACAAGCATTTTTTTTTCGTAAACAGTTTATTTTATCGATGTCGATCAAGAGTACATTTTTTTAATTTAAGGTTTAAGCTGACCAAAAATATTATTGTTGTGCCTTTATTGAACAGGGTGTTAAAAAAATAACATTACCCTGTTAGAGCTAGTCCGTCCCTGGCAAACTAAATAAGCCATTTTAAGGAAACTTTCCTAGTTACCAACATATTAAAAAATTATTAAATTTCACCAAGTACTTTAGTTATTTAAAAACAAAGGATTTCCAGGGGAGTCCGTTATGGGCCCGTATCTCCCTAGAGGAGACCGTAAAAAAAATGTATAGGAACTTGTCATACTATTATTTTGTGCTCTATAGATATATCTGAATCCCGGAGATTGCCCACATATTCTGGGACACAGTGTATAGTAGCATGTGCTCCACACCTCAAAGTCCCACCACGTGGCTACGTACGGAACGCAGTCTTTTGAAAATTTTGCAAAGGTACAATTTGTGTGTATATGTTTTGGTTGGCGCTTTCAGTCGCATCCGTTGCGACTCGACTGCTACATAGACCAGTCAAATCGCAGTCGTCTGCGATTGTTTGATCTACACCAATCATAATCTTTTAACTTTTAAAATTTAAATAAATTCCAAAGTATAGGGGTTCCCTAAGAACAAACTAATGGTCAATATTACAAACAAATTAATGACGTTTTATATAAAGTACCTAAGTCTGAAGAACGCTGTAAATGTTGGTTTTTGTTATTTTATTAAGTTTAATTAAGCACGAACGAAACTTGCTTCCAGAGGGAAAAGCGCATACTTATTTTAGTCAATTTAAGAAGAGTTCTTAGAAAAACTCCACCAAATCGCATTATAAAATAAAAAAATAAACCTCTAAATCAGCGTTCCAAAGAAAGCAGAGCGAGTATAAATTGAAAATAACTCGACAGATATTTTGAAAACTTGTCTGGCAATAGCCACGATAGCCTATAGGGCTTGAGAGGCTATTGCCTACTCACTCTCGATTGCTATTTGAACAATTATTTTTGACAGATCTCGTTATTTCCACTATAATAATGTTTTTTTCCAAGCGTACAATAAATTTTATATAAAATGACTCATAAGTCTATATAGAAAGACTTCATATTAATACTAGTTCAAAAGTCAAATTATTATAACTCCGTACAGAAATAAAGCTAAAATGTTATCATTTCAATCTTATCAAATCTATACGTCCAAAAACGTCCAAAAATAATCAATAAAATATTTGTGAAATATTATGAGTCATCCCAGTACTTAATGTAATAGTATATTCTGTAACAAGTTTCGAATACGGCATATTCCGCTCGAGTGAAAAGTTTGTCACACAAGCCAAAGACGAGTTTGCCGGTTTCACGAGAGTGGAATATGCAATTCCAACGTGTTTCAGACTATACTTTTTCTACGTTTCCAAAAAATACAATGGAAAAATTTAATTGGAAAAAGTAAGATTAGATCGGTCAAAATTTGTTAGATATTAAACACAGAGATGTCGCCACCAGTGTTTATTCCGTCAGATGAATGTCATGATAGAATAATTCATTCTGTATTACTTTTAGGAATATGTCATTCCACATTAAAAAGTGATATTAGAACGGTCATATTCTGTAATAGGAGTAGAAAAAATACGTTTTTCTACTCCTATTACGGATTATGAACATCACTTTTTAATGTGGAATTACATATATTCCTTAAAGTGTTACAGAATTAAATATTCTATCATCCGATGACGGAATAAAGACTAGTGGCGCCATCTCTGTGTTTAATATCTAACAACTTTTAGACCGATCCAACCTCACTTTCTCCTAATTAAATTATTTTTCTATGTTATTTTTTGGAAACGTAGAAAAAGAATAGTCTGAAACACATTTGAAAATTGCATATTCCAAACAGAATATTCTATTTTAGTAAAATTGGTTCATTTGCTTAAAAGGGTGTTACCTTCTTATTTAAGGAAATTTAGGAAATGAGTCAAAATTCGTGAAGGGAGCATAAAGTTTTCACCATGGTAATAAGAATGTGTCCACCCTGGTTACTACTTTAAGAAAATGAACCAATTAAATATATTTCAACCCCCACCCCGGTTACAACTTCAACCAGTCGATTTAAAGATTTTCTATCCCTTTCACAAATTTTAATATTTGGTAAGTTTTTAAGATAATGAATAAAACATATAAAGTCTGATGGATCTTCAAATATTTTATGGTTCTGTTATTAATGAATATAAAATGTTTTGTGGGTTAAAGGTAATGCAAAAGGATAACAATAACACTGTAGATACAATTTTAACTTTTGAAATATCACAGGTAAACGCTCGGACACGTAAACATAGTTTTTTAGTCGTAAATTTCAAATCCGTGCTCGGTTTAGCTGTATCAGGTCTAAACAAGTTTTTATTGGCAATCCGATTCGGAGACACACTGCATACTGCAGTACCATGGTATATTATAATTTGTAAAAGAATATACACCTCTAGTGACGTTTAATATAATATAATATCCTTAGTTATACAAAAAAAACAACAAAAAAACAATTTTAATTTGCCTAATTATGTAAAAAACCCTCAGGGACACGTGTTCCTTTGAACAATTAACCTAAATTTTGCAAATTAATTTGGAACTGATGTGTGGGTCTAGACCAATTGAATTTTTTAAAAATTTATTCAGGGCGTTTCCTAATGGAATGCTCCAAAACTTGAAATTTAAATATCTTTGAATTTTTACCTGATATAGCTAAACCAACAGGGATTTGTAATCTACGACCAAAAATTAAGTTTACGTGTCCGAGCGTTTGGCCGTGATATTTTCACCTCCCGCAGGATTTTTTTTCAGGGGGGCAAAATAGAAATCTTTTTGTTGTATTTCATATAACATTTATTTATATAAATATCTTAAAAAGTTAACAAAAGAAGTCTAAAACAAACAAAATAAATTAAACAAAAATAGGTTTTTCTCTATATTTATAAACATAAATATCTTAAAAAGCTAACAAAAGAAGTCTAAAACAAACAAACAAAATAAATTAAACAAAAATAGGGTTTTCTCTATATTTATGAACACAAAAAACATGATATAAAATCTTTAAAAAAAAAGGAACAAAACACATAATAATAATAAATAAATGTTAAAAATGGTAAAAAAATTTACTCTAAACTAAAAATCAGCCTTCTGTTACTTTGGCAAAATTGGTCAAGTATTTCATTATTAAAATTTGAAATATTTTCTACTCTTTTACGATGGATACTTAACAATGCTAGCCCAACAAGTCTGTCTTGTCCCATTGTAGATCTTATCCACGTTTTAATCCTGCGTAAGGTGCTAAAACTGCGCTCTATAGTGCAAGTAGTACACGGCAAAGTAAGTAGAAGCATGCAGCTATCTTTAATAGCAGGAAAAAATGTACAATGCCCAATAAGATCTTCAATGGTTATGCTTTTATCTATTTGAGATTGAGATACATATTCTTTCCAAATATTTAACTCGCTTTCCAAGTTTTCAATATTGTACAGATTTCCGACCTTAGGTGCAAAAGATTTTATATCCAAGGATTTTATATTTTTTGGCAATATATTAAACAACGAGAATGCGATTTTATGCTCTTGTGAAAACCTTGTTTTTAAGGAAATAATCAAATGGTCTAAATATGGAATAAATAAAGATTTTTTGAAATAATCTTTGGCTGAATCGGATTCATAATTAGATCTGTGAGTTTGTCGCTCGCATATCCGTGGTTTACTCAACTCTATATTATGGGTCTCACAAGTAGAAAACGCATTAGCAAAAGTTTCTGTAAAAGCCATATCAACTTCTAAGCGATGTTTTTCGCAAGTGTTCGTAATTAAATTTATGTGGTAGTAAACATCTACAAAATTAATTGAAATACCTTGAAGCGTATTTGCCACGGGTTCTAAGATATTTGAATATTTACTTGCCACCATTAGACAAATAACAAATGTAAACGAATTTATAGCAGCCCATAATTGAGCTGCTCTTTTTGTAGTACTAGAGTTCATTACAATTTCCCCAGTTTTGATATCAAAAAGAGTTTTAAATATGGTATTAAAATGTTCAGCAAAAACGCGCAAAGATTTATATTTGGCGGTCCAACGAGTCTCACAAAACAGGGGTATATTGGGAATTAGATTCCTTCTTAAAGTACTCTCTCTAAAAAAAACTATTATGTCATTAATTATTAAATTCAACCTGTGGGAGGCGCAATGAAAATAAAATGCTTTTTTATATTTATCTTGTATGATCTTCTGAACCCCGTGAATTTGACCAGCCATTGTTGAGCATCCATCATAACCTTGTCCTACAAGTTTGTCCATATTTAAACCTGATTTTTCTAAAAATTCCAAAATAGAACAAGCTATGCTGTCGGCGTTTAGTTTTTCTAATTTTATGAATCCTAAAAACTCTTCTTTCACGGTAAACTTATTATTTTTTTCGTATACATATCGTATGCCAATGGACAACTGCTCATGTCCGGAAATATCGGCAGTCTCATCAGCCATAACACTAAAATATTTATAAGAATTTGCCTCTTCTACTATATTTGTTAATATTTTTTGTCCTGACAATGAAATTATTTCATTTTGGATCCTATGAGAAGTGTATTTAGAGTTGCCAGCTGCGTTACATAAGTGGCTTTCTAAAGTATTATCACCAGCATCAATTCTGAATTTTAAAAGATCTGTAAAGTTGCCAGAGTTTTTGTTGCTTTCTCTTAGCGGCATATCATGAGTCCCACAAAAAACAATAGTTTTTATAATTGGAAGAATTTTTTTTCCTATTTTCCAAAATATTTTTCTTCCTTCATCAATTAGAGACAATATGTCAGGTTTTTTATTTGATAACACATCAATAAAATTTTTGGCACGGATAGCTGAATCTTTATGCCATGCTGAACTAGAATGGTTCTTGGAATGCATGTGAAAGTCTTTATATTTTATAAACGGTCTTATTACAAACGCCCCTAAAGTACTACCGTGAGTCAAAGTGGGCGGGAAGAGCACACAGTATTTACAAAGAGCACCCTTAAGGACTTTGGAATAAACCAACCAATCATATTGATCAAACCATTTGTATATAAATGGTCGTTTATTTAGTTCAACATCTTGCTTAAAATCATAGTCAGGGGACGGTTTATATGGCCTTTTTAATAAATCATATTTTTGTTTATCCTGTATTGACGAAGCATTTACAAAATTTCCAATATCTTCTGATTGACCGACCGATGGCAACATTTCAGCTATGGTTCCCTGTCTAGACTTATCTTCATGTGCTAAGTCACTACTAGTGCTTGGGATAGGGCTGGGGCTGGAACTATGTGTTTGAAGCCCTATTTTTTTAGAAGAATTGTTGCAATCTTCGTTGGTTGTTTTCCTTTTAAAGAATTTTCTAAGGTCCATTTTTTCTAAGCAATAAACCTTTATAAATATATAAATATCAATAAAATCGTTAAAAGCTAAATTACCAATAAAATCTGAAGCCTGGCACCATAGCAAATTTCGAATTTAAAAGGAACTGCGAACTGCTGCAAACTTCAACGCACACAAAACAATCAAAACCTCGACAGGGCTCGACGAGAACTAATCGACTAAAAGGCAGGCGCATCACCGAGTGAGGCGCGGGAGTCTAGCGGCAGAACAGGGACAGGGCACCCAACGCGACGCGGAACAGAGATTGTTTAATAATTATTTAATTTTGCCATGCTCTGCCCTGCTAAGCTAAACCCCCGTATCTGCAATATTAAGTAATAAAGGACAAAAGATAATTTTTAATGTTTCTAACAATTAAAATTATCTTTTGTCCTTTATTACTTTATATTGCAGATACGGGGGTTTAGCTTAGCAGGGCAGTGCTGTCGCTTGTGCTCAAAAGGAGCGCGTATTGTACTCGTACTTACGTCTTGCGTAGGTATAATATCCTCCAAATTTTGTATTTGTTTGTACTAATATGTAGTCCTTGTGTTAAAATATAACTATTAAAATAGGAATTTTAAAAACACTTAAATATTGTACAAAAAATCGTATAAAATACCAAAATCTCAGGGGGGGCCGTGGCCCCCCCTGGCCCCCCCCTGCGGGCGCCCATGAGTGTAACTATTTCCTTTTAACAGAAGAATATTTACCATTTTTAATTTCAAAATAATTTGGTTTCTTCATATACATTACCAAATAATAGCGAAGAGGCGGAAATAACTATAGTACACTATATAATACCTACCTATGTCATTAGGCCAAGAAGTGATCAAATATCAAATAAAATTGGCTTTAAATTCCTTGCGGTGGTTAGATAAAATATTGTGTGACTTTGGTCAAAAGAGAACATTCCACTCGCGTGTTACCTCCACGCTAGAGGAATTTTCTTTTTCCCCAACTAGTCGCACAATATACTATTTTTAAACATATAATATTCTTTTTTTAAATATTATTAATAATTATTATTGTCAGTGTTCGTTTACTACTGGGGCATTCCACGTTACTCGGTAATTTTTGTCCCGCCCGTCACAATTAAAAATTGTGAGTAAAAACCACAAGTTAAAAAATTAATATTTTATAATATTATTTTTATTGTGCTTATAACTTATTAAAAGCATAATAAAACAATATTTTTAAATAAATTTTATAACGTGTAGTTTTTACTCACATTTTTTAATTGTGACGGGCGGGACAAAAATCCCCGAGTAACGTGGAATGACCCTACTGTGCCTGATTTTAAAACCGTGAATTTTTATTGTTAAAGAAATTGTCGCCCTTAAGATATCTCGCCCTCTCCTCCCTAACACCCACGGCACGCTACTGCATAAGTGTTTATTGAGAGATTTATATTAAAATTTACTTACAAAATATTTTTTTTAGCGCGAATGTATCTCTATTCATGTTGGCCAAGCCGGTGTTCAAATCGGTAACGCCTGCTGGGAATTGTACTGCCTGGAGCATGGCATCCAACCTGACGGTCAAATGCCATCAGACAAAACTGTTGGAGGTGGAGACGACAGTTTCAACACCTTCTTTAGCGAGACTGGAGCCGGCAAGCACGTTCCAAGAGCCGTATTTGTGGACTTGGAACCCACTGTAGTTGATGAAGTACGTACCGGAACCTACCGTCAACTGTTCCACCCTGAACAACTGATCACAGGTAAAGAAGATGCCGCCAACAACTACGCTCGTGGTCACTACACCATTGGCAAGGAAATCGTCGACGTTGTATTGGACAGAATCCGTAAATTGGCTGATCAATGTACTGGTCTCCAAGGTTTCCTTATCTTCCACTCTTTTGGTGGAGGTACCGGTTCCGGATTTACTTCCCTTTTGATGGAAAGGTTGTCCGTAGATTACGGAAAGAAATCCAAATTGGAATTCGCCATCTACCCAGCCCCACAAGTATCCACCGCTGTAGTGGAACCATACAACTCCATATTGACCACCCACACCACCTTGGAACACTCTGACTGCGCATTCATGGTCGACAACGAAGCTATCTACGATATCTGCAGACGTAACTTGGACATTGAACGACCATCGTATACCAACTTGAACAGACTCATTGGCCAAATCGTATCGTCTATCACCGCCTCTCTCAGATTCGATGGTGCACTCAACGTCGACTTGACCGAATTCCAAACTAACTTAGTACCATACCCACGTATCCATTTCCCTCTTGTCACCTATGCCCCAGTCATATCTGCTGAAAAAGCCTACCATGAACAACTTTCCGTTGGTGAAATCACAAACGCCTGTTTCGAACCAGCTAACCAAATGGTGAAATGCGACCCTCGTCACGGCAAATACATGGCCTGCTGTATGTTGTACAGAGGAGACGTGGTACCAAAGGACGTCAACGCCGCTATCGCCACCATCAAGACCAAGCGTACCATCCAATTCGTGGACTGGTGCCCAACTGGTTTCAAAGTAGGCATTAACTACCAACCACCAACCGTTGTACCAGGTGGCGATTTGGCCAAGGTACAACGGGCTGTGTGCATGTTGTCCAACACTACCGCCATCGCCGAGGCATGGGCCCGTTTGGATCACAAGTTCGATCTTATGTACGCCAAGCGTGCTTTTGTACATTGGTACGTAGGAGAAGGTATGGAAGAAGGTGAATTCTCCGAGGCCCGTGAAGATTTGGCTGCTCTAGAGAAGGATTACGAAGAAGTTGGCATGGACTCCGGAGACCAAGAAGGAGAAGGTGCCGAAGAATATTAAACATTACAGACAACAATTCCATTTATAAGACTAATTCAATAAAATTTTTGTTTAACTGCATTTTTGTTTTTTATTTTAGAGCAGGGGTTCTTAAATAATAATATTAAAAATCAAATATTTTATGTCTAATAGTGAAATTTGTTTTTCCTTTGGGATGCCTGGAGTACTATTAAAAATATGTTAATATATTTGCTTTCCGGTGCCGCACGGGCCTCAGTTTTTAAAATTAAATCAAAACTAACTAATATTAAAAACGTAGCTCCTAACTCATTTACTTATTATATTAAGCGAGTACTACCCAGAAGTCACCATGAGAAGGTTTATCAAATTCCATCATCCCTCCCACCTTTTGTCATGGTAGCTATTTAACCTACGTTCATATTTCTTTTTAGTGTTAAACTTCGGCATAACATTGAGATTAATATCCGACAAGACGGGAGATTCCGTCAGTTTACAATCATTCCAATTTATTAAATCTATATCTTTCCCCCAGAGCCATGACTACTTTGCAAAGTATACTATACCTATAGGTCAAGTCCAAAAACCTGACTTTTGAAGGATAGATTTGAAACGCGGCATTTTCTTTTTTGCATTATTATTTAAAGCTAACCCGGTCAACATTGTAACGTAACATTAACCAAAATGTTATGTAAGGATTGTGATGTGTAACATTACAGTTACATAACCTGATGTTTGCAAATAGGTTCCTATTTCCCACTCATAGGAGTAACATTGTTACATGGCCGTTATGCAGGGCCGGATTAAGGTCTCGTGGCGCCCGGGGCCAAAAGTTTTCATGCGCCCCCTAATTTTTTGAAATCTCCTTTCCAATTTTTTCAAATTCATCATATTTAGTATCGTTTCTTAGTTCAGTTATAAAAACTATCAATGAATTATACAAATCTATTACAACTGATAAATCTATATGTTGTTCCTGTAAGCTTTTGTTTACAGAATTAAAATGATTTAAAATCTTATGCCACAAAACTAATAATAATCCAGTTTCTAGTTTATTCATAATATCACTAAGGCCACTGGCTTGAGCTCTAACAGTGGGAGTTTGATTGTTATCATTTATTAGTAATTCGAGAGCGTGTTGATAGCTTTCATAGGATTTGTAGAGAGCTTTAATTTAATTTTTTGGGAACTAAATTTTTATTAGATTCTTTTAAAGCATCTATTAAAATGTTCCACCTAAAAGTGGAAGCTGAAAAAAATACGTACAAATCGTTTAAAAATTTGGTGGCATTTAAACAACTTTCCGCTGCACAGGAACCAATTAGATTTAGTGAATGAGCGGCACATGGGATATACCTATACAGCGTTTTTGAAACACACAAATCGCCAATGTATACGTTTTCAACTCACAAGTTTATAAAGAACTGCAAAAACTGGCAATGTTTATAAATATTGTGATTTCTATGAAAATCTATAGATATAGTAAATATACTTAGGGGTTATACTTTCGCGCATTAACTTTTGTTTAAAACTGTAAACAGTGTTGCCAGTCTAGAACAAATGTACTAAAGTGTATTTAAATCCAATCTAGTAGATTTGATCTACTGATATGACTATTTTAGTAATTATTGGTTGCTTCTCTTCTACTATTACAATTTGTGATATGTCATTTTTTGGGCGGCGCACAGTGGTCCCGGGAACCTGAAAAGTTGGCATTAAATGAAAAAATTAAACTGTATTTTAGGAAAGTAATTCACTTTATTTTAATTGCGCACACTCCCACGCATGAGTTGGTAACACTGTTTTCACCAACGACTCTTTTTTATGCGTTCCAGAGCTTGTTTACAGAGACGACACTAAAAATCACGGAAACCTCGGAAGTATTCGGCTGTTTACGGAGAGCTTCGGCGGCTGACGTCATCCATTTCAAATTAATGAATCATTTGCGCCAAAAACGAAAAAACGGTTATTTCATAACCTCAAATTGATGTTATTGCTTTTATTCGTTTTGTTTATTCAGATAGTAAATCTCTGTTTATTACAAGGCTTTGTTTATTATAAGACTATTTTTTTTTATTAGTAAATGTGTTTTAAAATCCAGAGAGGTCTGACAATAATTATTGGCGATTCCCGTGTTATTAGGCACTGTTGTGTAGGTACTTATAATAAACTGGAAAAACATTTGGAGGTAAACCATAAAATAAAAATAGAATTGCATATAATTTTGCAACGAGAGAAAGTTATGAACTGTGGTTTGATCAACAGAAAATTGAGACAACTTATGCATCGGCCTGATCAAAAAGATCTAATGATTATTTAGAAAAATCCTACACTTGCAATTGTAGTAATTCAATAGGTAAAATATTAAGTTCACCTTTTATTACTTTATTTTACAAAATATTTCTGTTATCCTCAGGACATGGCAGCAATTGTTCCAAAAGAACGGAGAAGGCTGGTGGTTCAATTAAATTGTATGGAGTATGCCCGCCCATCTCATTTAAATATAAAGCTTTGGAAAACAGGTAAATTTAAGGGTAAAATATTATTCTTTTGCCTAAAAAGTATATGAGTAGACATGAATACTATGCCTTATATATAACCCTAAAATATGAATCTATTTGAGATAATATCAACATTTTAATTGTAGGAGAGATTACTGTAAAATTCTGGAAATCACATGTAGGCCATGAAGAGGAGATTAGAAGTCAACACTTGTCAAAACTTGAAAAAACTGAAATAGTTAAAAAATTATGTAGTGGTGTAACCGTAGACAGAATTATGTCCGATGCCAGAAAATTAAAATCTGAGAAAATTCAAAGAATAAATATGCTGAATAGAAATGATGTATCATATTTAATGAAGAAACATAATGTAATGAAGAAGAATTTTAAATTTTAAATTAATTTAAATTTTAAATTAGTATTATTATTAATTTTAAATTTATTTTGTAGTTTTGTAGTGTTGTTTTGGTTTTATTTAAGTAGATGTATAAAGTGTAATTTTTAGTTAGTACTAGGAAAATTAAAATATATAAATATATACTTATATCATGTACCTAGAGGTGTAACCTAGCAATTATTGTATTTTACCTGACTGATGAGTTTGGTTTAAAGAAAAAAGCACCCATAAGTTTCTTGCAGTTTCTTCTTATTGGTTGTAATCAAAACTGCGGATTTTTTAAAACTAAGTTTAAATAAAGAACTTTAATATTATGTTTTGTTTTATTTAAGTAGATCAACAGTAATTTCTAAAATTAAATTATATATATATATATATATATATTATATGTACACATATGTGTAAGCTAACAATTATTGTATATGCCTAAATGATATGTTTGGTTTAAAAAAAACATCCATACGTTTATTTTATTTTCTTCTTATGGGTTGTATTTAAAATCGCGGATTTCTTAAAACTTAATTTAAATTTAGCACAACAAAAATTAATTTACTGCTCATCTATGTACTGTATTCAAAATTTTAAAGCTGATCTTCAATGGGGTAGTTAAATTTTTCTCACCTATACTTGGTTTTATTAGAAGGGTTTTTTTAATTTTAAACATCTATGTGAAAACAAAATTTCGATTGCGTTAACCGTACACCAAATTCGAATGCATGCCACTTTCCTGCAAAGAATAAAACAATTTCTATTTTTCCACCATCAAAGATGAAATAGATTGAAGTCCCTAGAAATACAAATAACAAAAAATGTTTAAACATCCGAAAGCAAGTGATTTTGATATAAATTTAAAACGAGAATGCAAATCAGCCTTATCTTCTGATTCATATTCTTAATATTTCTTGTGTAAATTATTACATCTAACAAATTCTCCAAAAAAGTAATGATTTGTTATGTTTATTATACTTAATAAACCTAATAAATCATCACTTATTTTGAAGGCTATATAATTATACGATCTAAAAATAAAGAACGAACCAAAACAATATTTAAAATCAAAATTCCCGCCAGCCGCTTCTCGCTGCCCTCCGGACACGGCCGAATACTTCCGAGGTTTCCGTGATTTTTAGTGTCGTCTTGTTTACAGAGCACGTTTTGGTGACGACAACACGTGGCTTTTATTTGCTTTATTCTATTCTTTGTTTTTTTTTTAGTGATAGAGTGTTAATTGAACTTAATCACCACATATTGTGATGGAGGCCTCAAGTTCAGGTATGTGGCGATATTTTACTATATTTAAACTAATAATAAAGCTAATAGTTTTTATATAACTTGTGTTAAAATAAGATATTGTAAAATTCTTTTATTTTTACGTTATTCTTAAAAATAGCGACACATTAACTTATGTTCCGAGCTTGACCCGGCTTTTATTTTTATTGCTTTTCGGAGCCTGTTTGTTGCTAATTACGAAACTATTTAAATTTGTTGCACATATTTGCTCTTTTTTTCATAATATGAGTTTTTTTACCCGCTTACATATTAGATTTACTTGTAACTAACTACGTAAATAATTCTATAAAGGCAATTTTTATCTACTATAACCCAACCGATTGAGCTTAAATTTTGTACACATTTTGTTCTGACAATACAATCTAGTATACTATATACTGTAATTTGTTCAAAATGGCCGCCGTGGCGCACCAAGATGGCGGACTACCATTTTTTATAACTTTCTTGATATGGGTATCAAATAAAAGGGTTTGACAAGTAGAAAACGATAAAATTCGTCACGTCACACTAATTTCAATATGGAGTCCGCGTCCACCTTAAGATGGCGAATTACCTATTTCTTTACAACCTCCTTGACATTGGTATCAAATAAAATAGTTTTTCAAGCATAATACGTAACTTTACTCCAATTTTAATATGTAACTATGTAATTAAATTTTAAGACCAAAAAGTAAAAATTAAACAATATTTTAAAAAACTAAAAACACGCGTTACCCACTAAAAAGTATTAAATAATGTGACAAGTTTAAGGTACCTAAGGTAAATGCTAGTTTTTTTCTATATTTCTAACATTTACCTAGTTTGTTTTTTCTAGGAACAATGTCTCATGCCAAGTTTGTAACTAGGAACCCAAACAACCAGTTTACATTTTATGTACGTACATAGTACGTCGACCTTCGACGTACCTTACATTT